CCCAACTTTTCTCATCCTTTTGTCATTACATCTTGTTGGTTTGTTTTCAAATCCTCTATAGAAACTGACTGCTAAAAGAAGAAAGAAAGAGAAAGAAAGAAAGAAAGAAAGAAAGAAAGAAAGAAAGAAAGAAAGAAAGAAAGAAACTGCTTCTCATCACTTGTGCTACAACATCCTCGTTCAAGCCCCATGATCTTGGTCACCTGCACTGTTTTAATAGCTCCCTTACTGGTCATGTCACTGCTCTGCTCAAAACTTGTGAACACCTTCCCATCTCACTCAGGTTCTGATTAAAACCTCATTGTTTTAGACCTTTCTCGAGCATCATATTTAAACTTATGACGTACCTCTTTCACTTCTTCTCCATCCTGGTTGGATTTATCCCCCTAAAGTTTATCACCAACCAACATGAAATACTCTTCCCCTACTTATCTCCTCTATTTTCTATCTACTTTTAACCCTCTTTTTTTTTCCTGAACATACTCATTATTTACTCAATGTACAAAATACAGACATGGGGGAAATAGCATTAATAACTAATACGTGCTGTTTTACACCTCAGGAAAGGGAAAGTGAAAGCGCTGACCTTAGGGTTTCAACATCTTTTGCTGAAAAAGCAAAGAATAAAGCTAGGTTTCCATTTTGAGAAAAAGAAAAAAGAAACATGGATGGGATTCAGAAGCTCAATGGACCCCAAATCTGAGAGTTTCACAGGTAACTGTGCTGAACCAGCAGACAAGGAAATATGAGCTCATTATTAATACTGATCCATTTGATTTAATGTGGAACTTAGCTGGCTTGCTTGACTTGGTCTCCAGTTTCTTCTAATCAGAGGAACTCTACCCAATAAGAGTAGATAATGTACAGGATTCTGTAGTTTTTCTCTCTCTGGTTCAAAAGACAGAAAGTTACTAGCACTTAGCAGGTGCTCATCACACACATAAATGCATTATAAGGAATTACATAAGTAAATGCAAGACAATTATTTTTTGCAAGATGATTAGTTTTCATATTTGAGGATATGCCTCAAGAAAAGTTTGTATTTCACTCATGTAGAAATTTTAAAAGTTGTTTTGGTATACATCATGAAATAAAAGGTTTTTCTCTGAATTGTGCATAAATAAGAAACTGAGACAAAAAATTTCACCCTCAATGTTCTTACTTTACCTCGTTTATTAGATTTACCACATTACTTTAGTTCTTTACACTGATATTATCATTGTAATTTTCTTTAGTCATATTAGAGAACACACACATGCAAAGTTTTATCAGCAGGCAGTGAACAATTCAAACAATTCAAATATGCCTTTAAATGTCATTTCCAAAGAGAAAAAGTAACCTCACGTTTAGTTACATTCCTACCAAATGTCAATGCACTGAAAAAGGGTTGTGAAATCTTTTGAGTTTGTATAATCTATTAAAAGCATGTTCTCATGAGAAGTGAAACACATCTCTGCAATATCAGCTTTTTATAAAGTGGGTGAAAAGTTTACAGAAGCTGCAACAGGAAAACCATAATGAAAGTGTTTCAATGTTAACCTGTTTGGAAACATATCCTTCAGTTTTTCCTGTTTTTATTATGAAAATATTATCACAATATGGAAGATAAGGTGGGTCAAATGGGAGAAGATGTTTGCAAGTCATATTCTCCAATAAAGGATTAATTTATTCAAAGTATATAAAAAAAACTCATATAACTCAGAAAAACAAAAACCAGTTAGATTTAAAGAAAAATGGGCAGGGAAACTGAATAGACATTTTTCCAAAGAAGACATACAGATGAGCAACAGACACATGAAAACAATCTCAACATCACTAGTTATTAGAAAATGCAAATCAAAACCACAATGAGATATCACCTCATACTTATTAGGATGACTAGGATTAAAAAGACAAGAAAAGAAGTAACAAGTGTTGGTAAGAATATGGAGAAAAGAGAACACTTATGCACCATTGGCTCAAGTACTGTGGAAAATGGTATGGAGGTTCCTCAAAACATTAAAAATAGAAATATCATATGATCCAGCAATTCCACTTTTGGGTATTTATCTGAAGAAAATGAAAACACTAACTCGAAAAGATATATGCACTACTTTGTTCATTGTAGTATTACTTACAATAGCAGAGATATGTAAGCAACTTAAGGGTCCATTAATAGATAAATGAATAAGGAAGATGTGCTTCTTTAATATATATATAACGGAATATTGCTCAACCAGAAAAAATAATGAAATATTAGCATTTATAGCAACACGAGATGGACCTAGAAGATGTTATGCTAAATGAAGTAAGTCAGAGAAAGACAAATACCATATTTTCATAAAACAAATAAACAAGCAAAACAAAACAGAAACGAACTCATAAATACAGAGAACAAGCCAGTAGTTGCCAGAGGGAAAGGAATAGGGGGATGAGCAAAATAGGTAAAGGGGATTAAGAGATATAAACTTCCACTATAAAATAAGTAAGTCACTGGAGTGTAAAGTATAGCAGAGGGAATACAGTAAATAACACTGTAATAATTTTGTATGGTGACAGACTTATCATGGTGATCATTTTGTAATGTACATAAATGCCGAATCATTATATTGTATACCTGAAATCAATATAATGTTGTATTTCAACTATACTTATACTTCAAAAAAAAATTCTGTCATCTATTCATTTTTATATAAGACAAAATACCTTCATTTTCATATGAAATTTGAGTCTTTGCACATATGTATCTGTGTTACATAGTTGATACCACTGTGTATATTACCATCTGGTCTTATATATTTCCCTTAAAATCATATCAATATTTTTATACTTCATGTGATTTTTTAAAAATTTAAACTCATAGGCCAAATAGTAATTCATCAAATCTATCTTATTTATGTAGTCATTTTACTATAATGTAATTTTAAGAACTTTTTCTGTTTTCTTTTGGAGGGAAATGTTTTATTAATATAGATGATAATGATGTTATAAATAAATATTTTCATGATTTAGTTTTCTCCTTTTAAATGTTTCTTTAGGATAATTTACCATATGTTGAACGACCAGGTGAAAGGAAAACTCTTTAAACTTCGTGGTATCTACTGCCTGACAGTTCCTTAAAAAGATCATAAAAATTTACAAAGATTCCAACCATACATGAGCATGGCAGTTTTAGGCCAAATTTACCATTATTTAGTAGTAATATTTATTTTCAAATCATTTTGATTTTGATAGGAGTGAAATAATATCTAAAAGTGGCTTTTGTTTTTTATTATTTATTAATGTGGAAGAGATATTTCCATGTAATTATTTATTATTTATTTTTTTCCTTGGGTTTTTGTTTATTCATATCAATTGCTTAGACATCCTAGTGGAACTTTCTATATATAGAGATGTATAAAGTCTTTATATGTAATATATGTTCAATGTATATTCTTTCTTCTAAGACTGTTCCCAATTCAGACTTATCATCAAACCCTTAATTTCATCCTTAAGATTTGGTGTAAATAAATCCTTAAGATTTGGTGTAATAATAAGTTATTATTTATACCTATATTATTTACACCAAGAAGTACCTTTCTTATTATTTAAAAATAAAAACTTTGGTTTTGTATGAACAGTCAAAAATATATATGAATGAAAATCAAATTAATTATTTGTAAAACTAATAGCTCTACATTTAAGGAATATTATCCATAAGAGAGATTAACGGAAGAATGGAAACATCCAAATTGTGCCTAATGCCACTGATGCTCATCTTTGGTTGTGAGTTCATCCTTGTATTGGAAGTTTAGGCTTGAATACTGACTGTGCCATTCACTAGCTATGTGACCTTTGGCAAATTTTTAATTTATGTGATTTGATTGTACTTCCTTTATATGTGTAAAATAGGATTATAATATCAGTTTAAGAATTATTATGAAAACTTAAAATACTTTTTTTAAATTGCCTAGTACACAGGTAACCATCAATAAATAATTACGTTTAAGTACCATTTTTTTTAATATGGGCTTTTCTTCTTTTACCCTCATAGCCTCTCTATGAGGCATATACCAGTATTTTCTCCATTTCACAAGGTTAGGAAACTTAAGACCCAGACTATTTAAGTAACTAGTTAGTCTTCAAAAGCTAGGAAGTAGAGAGGCTTGGATTTAAATATAGGCATGTACCTGCAGAATATTAGCTCCTAAATACTGTATAAAACATTTATAATCTCAGTTCTGTGACTTTTCTATCACTATTCTCACATGGCCAATGAGAATGCTAACACCCATTTTATGCTCTGTAAATCTCACACATTCTTCAAGATGAACCTAAGCTTAAACATATCCATGAAGACCTTTTGAAATCCTTTCCCCCTAAGTAATGTAAGTTGACCTCTCCGACATTTCTTTAGTAGTTAACTGTAGCACTTGTAGAACTAGTTAACGTGCTCAAATTCTATTGTGCTATTTGCCTTAGATCATGAGCTTCCTGAAGACAGGCTATATTTTATTTTTCTGATCTCTTCCCTCCATCTAGTTCAGCAAACGGCTTATAGTAAATATCCAACCAATATTTGTTATAAAGCAAACACAGGTACTAATAGGTGTTAGGTTAAAGGCATAAGTATTATATGAAAAGTAATGAGATTAATTAAAATAGTCTCAATTATATTTTCAATAAAGTCAATACATTTTTTAAAACATATGGACAATTAAATGGCAAAAATTTCTTACTAGTTTAACCTACAGGATAATTAGTATATTTCATGTATATTTATGCACACACATACATTTTTCTCTTACAAAAAACCTAGCAGAAATCTCTATTTTTTAATCATTGAAATAACCAGATCAAGTTATTAGCAATGGGAAATTCTACCAAAAATTATTATCTATACAGAAACATGTATGTATGTATACATATAAACATACATATTTATACATCTCACCTATCACACAAACACACACATACACAGAGTAGACACATATAATCAATAGAAGCAATTTTGGAAAAACATTAAAATAAACGTCTTTTACCGTTCGTCCTAAAGACAGCAGCACTGATTTATCCACTTCCCTCTCTTTACAGTTGAGACCTAAAATCTTTATCACATAGTTTTTCAGCATCTGGTCCATGAAGAAAGGAAATGACACATTTGTGTGTTGAAAATTCTTCTTCACAATGCACTTCAATATTACTCTCATCAGTGCACAAGTTTGCAAAATCTAAATTTGTAAGATAACTCATTCCTCTTCCCACTTAGAACATTACAAAAGAAAAGAGAAGTAAAAGGAAAAAGAAACAAGGGTTATTGTAACAGGGTCCATGATATGTGTCAGATTAATTTTTTCCTTTTTTATAAAATCTGTATGCCTTCTGTAACATTCTCATTGTCTATTATTTTGGTTTAATCTCTTTATCTTCTATTAATTCTAATTGACTTCTCTTTCATATTCTACATTGAGAGAAGACTCCATGTTTAAGTAATTTTTTTCATCCTTTCTCCTAAATCCCTCATTTCTAGTTTCAAACACAAAACACATGGGGGAAGGATATGGATATCTACCAAGTAAAATAATCCAAGGGGTGCCTGGATGGCTCAGTCAGTTAAGTGTCTGCCTTCAGCTCAGGTCATGATTTCAGGGTCCTGGAATGGAGCCTGGGATAGAGCTGTCTCCCCACTCTGCCACCCCCTGCATCTGACTCCCTGCTCAGTGGGGAGTCTGCTTCTCCCTCCCACTATGCTTCCCCCAATCACATTCCTGCCCCTTCTCTCTCTTCCTCTCAAATAAAAAAAATAATAAAATCTAAAAAAAAAGTAATAATCCAATAACGCTCATTTCCCAGCTATATCTATACTGATGTTAACATTATTCATAGATCTCTTTTAAGCACCTAACAAGTTGTGGATTTCCCCAGGAGTGTAGTGAAGGAAAAAGGTCTCAAGTATGGGGTTTGAGCAAACAAAGTTCTTTCACTTTCTATCACCTTGTCAGAATTTTCACTTTGCATCTCATTTAATCACATTCAAATTCCAGTAGAACACACACAAGAAACATACAACATTACATTAATGAGCTAATTTTTAGATCTAATTCTTCTAGGGGAGAGTGTTTATGTTTCACAGAAATTTCTTGGTATCCCAAACAGGGAGGGATCATACTTCCTACAGAGACCACCAAAATGGTCTTGCCATGATGCCAATGGACACCATAGAACGCTATCTTAGAAGACAATAGGCCTGGTAGAAAGAATGCAGGTGCAGGAACAAGGCACAGAGTTTGGGAGGCAGAAATTAACAGTATCACATGGCCATTCTTAGAAGCTAACAGTAATAGTTACAGAAGCATTTAAGCAAGCAGCAGAACCATTTAGCCAGGCAGTTTTAGACAAGAAGTTAGGATCACAGATGTGGATGCAGACTGAATCAGCATGAAGGCTTTTAGGCCACTCCTTAACCATGTTAGTTTAAATTTATCACCAAATTCTTAGTGAAGAGGTACTGGAGACACACACCAGAACTCACTCTATTTCCTTTATAACCATTTGTAAATACATCATGTTATAGAATATGGTCCTTTTGGCATCTTAAAAAAAAATCTTCAGTTTAAAAACTCCTTCATACATTGTTAAATTTATGTGCCCCTGTCAACACTATGTGATTAGAAAAGTCAGACTCTGGGAATAACAAGCTAAGTGAGACATCAACTTTCCAAAATTCTATCCTAATGAGATTTATTTCTGTCAAAGTGGACTATATTACTAGGATGTCTCTGTAATATTGTATGTATATATTTTTACTTCCATAATGCAAACCACTTCTTTGATTACTTCCACAATCCTCAGCCTATCTCCATATATTTGTATACACACACACACACACACACACACACACACACACACTACAGTTGACCCTTGAGAAAAATGAGGTTGAACTGGGTCTCCTCAAATACAAATTTTTTTTTCAATAAATATAGTATAGTACTATAAATATATTTTTTCTTATGATTTTAATATTTTCTTTGTTCTAGCTTACTTTATTACCAGAATACAGTGTATAATACATATTACATACAAAATGTATGTTAATCCACTATTTACATTATTGTTAAGGCTTCCAGTCAACAGTAAGCTATTCTATTACTAGTTAAGTGTTAAGGGCGTCAAAACTTATAAGTAGATGTTCAAGTGTATGTGTGTGGAGGGGGATTAGAAAGTCGGTGCTTCTAACCCCAATGTTGTTCAATGGTCAACTATACATATATATATATATATATATTAATATTATACTATATAATATGATACTAGCTATATAGTCTTACTATATGTAAGATGCTTTATCAGAGAACTAGGTAGAAAATGTTCAGGTCAAGCTGATGATTAATTGAAAGAACATAAGGAGTGTCAAGGAATTGGGGCTTTACATTCATCATTCCATTTGATTTCACAGCAACTTTGTTAGATCATCTTCCCAATTAAGAAACTAAGCCTTAGAGGTATTAAGTAAATTCCTCTAAGACATTGTCAAGATCATAGAACTAGGAGTCATCAAAGCTGGTACTCAAACTCAATTAAATCTGATTTCAAAACTGGACAAAAGAGAATTTTTTTCTCAATCTGAAATCAGTGTCTGTATTCTCAGGGGTCTTGGAAAACAAACCACAAACGTGAGTATCTTTCAGGCCATCTACATAGTGGCTATACTATCATTCATTGCCCTGGGATTCCAATGGCTTCACTTAGGTCACTTATGAACATGTGTGTCTAGCATGAAGGCTATATAACATTATGCCAATGTTCAAATAAAGTTTTACAATTAAATATAAAAGTGGGTGGGAAAATGACTTCAATTTCATGGGCCTCATTGTGGTAGAGGTAGGCATGCTGAAATTTAAAAAAAAAGATATATTTTACACTTATTAAGAGATACTTTTATATATCTAATGTTACAATAGGTCATTAGTAATAAGGTTATACCTTATATTTATGTGATAAATTTGCAAAGATAGTATTTTTTCATAATCTGAACCCAAATCAGTGATTTTTAAAAGGATTTTATTTATTTATTAGAGAGAGAGAGCACAGAGGGAGAGGAAGAAGGAGAAGTAGACTCCTCGTTAAGCAGGGAGCTTGACATGGCACTCCATCCCAGGACACTGGGATCATGACCTGAGCCCAAGGCAGACACTTAAGGGACTAAACCATCCAGGTGACCCCCAGAGCAGTGATATAAATACAAGTTTTCATAATGTTGCAATGGACACATCTCTCCATGTGAGTATAATACATTTAAAGAATTACCAAAATCTACTTCATCAAAATTAAAAATTAAAAAATTGTGCATTAAAAAATTGCACTGTAGCAGACCTTTGTTTGATGATTGTAAATTGAAAAAATGAAAAGTCTTGAAGCTATCAGTAACATTTTATATGACTTTATATAAACAGAAGTTTCCTACTGAAGTTTTCATTTAAGTTAAGAGACTAAATGTGGTATCAGAACCAAGCAGTAACTTCCTTCTGTGAAATCTAATAAAAATGTTTTGGCTTGACCACACAATCTTAAGGTAATATTGTTGATTAAAGTTTCGTATTTCTGTAGACTTTTTAATTTAGTTTACAAATGCATTGTACTTCAAAAGTTGGTTAGGAACTATTAGATGTATGGAATATAGAGCTAAATTTATGTTTCCGTTTCAACATAGAATTATAATAAAATATATCAACACTCAGTAAGGTGGAGGGACTAATGTATTTACTTTCCTTTGAGAATGCACTTTACCACACTTAGTTTTTATTTTTTTTATTTTTTATTTTTTATTTTTTTTTTATAAGTTTACAAGTTTTCTTTTCTTTTTTTTTTTTTTTTTTTTTTAATTTATGATAGTCACAGAGAGAGAGAGAGAGGCAGAGACACAGGCAGAGGGAGAAGCAGGCTCCATGCACCGGGAACCCGACGTGGGATTCGATCCCAGGTCTCCAGGATCGCGCCCTGGGCCAAAGGCAGGCGCCAAACCGCTGAGCCACCCAGGGATCCCTACACTTAGTTTTTAAATGAAAGTGCATGAAAGGCTTCTTGGTAGAACTTGGAGGTCATTCCGGTCCCCATACCAAGAAAAAAGCTGGACACACTGAAAACCAATTACTTCATAGAGCCATCAGAGAATTGAGGTCTTGGGGCAAAATGCCACCCACATTCTAGGTAAGTACAGAAACTCACAGCTGACATCAGCTCCCTGGAACAGAAGCCACTAGAGCCATAAACTAGGGAGGACATTTAACTGCCAATTTTGACAAACCGTTGAGAGGACTAGTGAGGGCTACTGTCAGACTCCTGGGGCTGAAGTCTTAGGGAACCTCCATACCTTTCTGGGCTTTACCTCCAGTAACCCCATGAAGTTCTCACCATGAAGAGCCAAGGAAAACCACCTGTTACTTCAGACGGGGGGAGGGAAAAAGTAACCATTGAACACACCCAGAGCATTCTCCAGACTTCACAGAGTCACCAAGACTTCACCAGAGCCTTCTCTTACCTGGGCAGGCTGGAGGGCAATTATCTAATTCCAGCTTCCTCCCTGTCAGGTAGAAGGAGAAAGGGGAGGAGCTAAGGAACAGCGATGAGGGGCAAAGTCCTGGGGGAGGGGATAAGATGTAGTCATGCATAAGAAAACACTTCCCTTCCTTAGACCTTACCACCCCAGCCACAGGGCTCCAGGATGATAACAGAGAATCCTTCCTTTTTTTAAGGGAAGTTTTGCAGGGAAACCCAAAGGTAGCAAAGGAGACAAAACCAAGGAGAGTAGAGGGATTTTCAGCCTCAGTTACAGATACAGTAAATATTAAGCACAACCCAGTTCCTAGCCAGGTCATCACGAAAGCTCGCCTATTAGCCTCAGTTCCTATTACCTGATATATCATCTCTAATTTTCAACACAAAATTAAAAGACAGGCTAAAAAGCCAGAAAGTGCATGCCAGGCCCTAAAAGTCACGCAGTCCTTGGGCAGTTAGGGAAGTGGAGAGGGTAGAGCGTGCACTACATGCTAGTGACTAATTTCCTTGCAAGCTCAGCTGTCTCCCCAAAGCAACATTAACAATTCACCCTGTCCTTATGATTCATATCTTAATGACACAAAAATACCAGTTAGGAAAAAAAGTAAATGTGAGCTCATTTTTAA